TTAATTGGGAAATTGAAAAATGGCATTTGTTGTTTCAATTTCCATTTACTTCATCACTGGTGGGAAATTTTCATCTTTATTTATTCTCTGAATTATCCATTTATCTTATTGAATTAAGTAGATAATAAAGTGAATAAAATATTTAAAAATAAACTCTAGGGTTCATAGGCTAATTAATTCTAGGTTGCACATTGAAGTTATCTAAGAATCTTTGAAAAAAATATTGATGTTTGATTCCTACCTTCTGATTTTGTTGTTATGATATGCAATCAAGACATTAACGTTTTAAAAGGCTTCATAGATGATGTGAATGTGCAGCATAGTTTGGAAACCACTGATGTAAGGAATTTGAGACTAGAAAACATCTGTGGCCACTCTGCCATAAGGCTAAAAATGAATTGTGATTTTCTTAGACATGAAGAAATGGAGAAGAGAGAGTACTTGAGAGCATTTAAAATGCAAGGTTACTAACTTCAGTAAGAGAGCAGCCTATTAGAAATTTGGTGAACAGAGCTCTTAAAACTGAGTAGATGCTATGTAACTCAATAAACTCAAAGAACTCAATAAACTCAAAGAACTCAAATAAAACTCAAAGTTTATTGAGCCTCAAAATGGCAGCGATGTAAAATTCAAACATACAGAGATTAAGGTTTTTCTATATGTTTTAAATATGTCAGGTGAATTATGTTAGAAGAAAGAAATCTCAGATAAATCCTGAAACCTGAAGGTGCTATAATTATTTGTCAGTGGATACTTCTTATCTTCATCAGTTATTTTTAAATATTTACAAATTTCTAAAATCTGTAAGATGATAGAGGTGATTAGTATGCCCCTCTGTAAGAAAGGAGAAAGTAGCAATATCTTACTCCATATTTTTAAAATTCCTCTCATAAGGGAAATATGAAGTCACCATTATCACTCTGAATATATATTTGTTAACTTAATGTAAGTCTAAGGTCATCACTGGTAAAAAATATATACAGGCTGACTGGCATCCTGGAAGAACTAAAACTAATCTTTCATATTTTGGGATTGTTTTTCTTTTCTCTTTTTTTTGGGGGGGGGGAGTGGGAATACTTTTGAATAAAACTAAAATTCTTCTGTTCTTTTTCAGTGGCAACAGCAATATGGATATGGATATGAGTGATATTATTTAGTTTCAGGAAAAGTGTGCTTAGTTCTATTGACCTTTGAAAAGGGGAAACACAACAGAATTAGTGTTGAGTTGATTCACCTTTAAATAAAGTACTGATACTAACAGAGGCACAATCATGTGCAGGAAACATGGACCAGGATAAAGCTGCTAGTAGAGGCCTGCAGATTCTATTGACAGAAATCTCCTGGATAAAACAATTAAATACAATAGTGGGGAAATGATTGTTTTATTATTTTAATTTATCCAGGGGTTGAGATTATTTTAATTTATCCAGGGGTTAAGGTTTTTTTTTTACTTTTCTCTGGACATTGAATAAAGGGGAAATAATTTCACAATATTTTTTTGCCTAATTATTTCTAATTCTTTATTTTTAAATTAAATTTTAAATTAAAAAATTAGGGCAAAATATAATATCCATATCTTACATGTAGAATTACGGACAATATTGTTGACAAAAAGAATAGAGGTAAAAAGTTCAGCACAGGCATCAGGGTGTTGGTGTTAATAATATCTTTTCAGATGCTTTTCAATGGCCCTTGGGAAGGTGATAGGTGGTACAATCAGGCAGTTTCAGCCAAGATACCATGGGAGCTCTAGTGGTATAGTGCCTAAGGCATTTGACTGCTAACCAGAAGGCTGCCAGTTCAAACCCACCAGCCACCCCTTGGAAGGAAGATTGGGCAATCTACTTCAGTAGTGATACTGCCTCAGAAACCCAAGGAGGGGTCACTATGGGTTGGATCGGACTCGACAGCAATGATTTTTACTGTGGGAGAGAGACATTTTGTAAAGTTAGGAACAGGACTCTGATAATTTTCTTTTTCTTCCTAAAATGTAGCAGTGAAATACTACTTGAACAGAAGTTATAGTAGTAAGACTAATTTATTAAATAAGGAAAATATTGTGTTGAAGAACACTCACAGGTTTTCATACAGGAGAGACTGTCATTGAAGAAATGACTAATTTAAGCTTTTACTAGTAGCTCAATTATGATGCTCATAATATGGGAAACAGGCTGCAACCACTCCCTCTTCAAACTGCCTACAAAAAGATGCAGAAAACTCTTCCATAAAGCAGAATAGTTCAATATCTAAATATTATGTGGGAATAAAAGACATCACACAGTCTCAGGTCTAAGCTTTATTCTCTAATCCATCTGGTATCAGATATGCTTCTTGTTCAGATATAAGAAAATATTAAAGTACTATTTGGTTCTCATTTGACAATTTATTTGTGTACATATTCTCTTTTCCAGCTGAAAGAAAGGTAAATGGTAAGATTCATGCACCAAACCCCTGGGAGTTGTTACCAATTCTTACTCATGGCAGAGAAGTGAAACAACATGACAATATGAATAGCCGAAAAGAGAAGCAAAAGCTTGGAGACACAGAAAATAGGAATTTATTGTAATAAGTCAAATGGAAGATAGATCTGACTGATAATAGTGACAATAGAGGTAGATTATGAAGAATTAAATGGATACAGCATCATAATTCTTAGAAAGTACTGTATTCTACACTTTAGTTTTCCATGTTAGAAAAGGGCAGCAGTCTTGGAGTCTTTCTTGGTTATCTATATACATATATTATAAAATTCAGTAGAGAACGAAGCTCAGAGAAGAGTGTAAGTTTGCCACTGCCATTACAAAGAACACCTGTTTAGCCCATCTTAGCCAATCTGCTCCTTGTCTGTGCCAAAGCAAAAGCTTTTATATCTACCCAAAGCACTACTATGTTTAGCCACAGAACAAATAACTGTTATAACATCCATATGGCAAATTGTTCTTTTAAATTGTTCATTACATTAAGCATTATTGCCTTAAAAAGCAAGACAGTAGTCGCAGATGTCTTCCACAGCATCTCGTTTTTTAGATGTCCCTTAAAAAAAATAGAAGATGGCTTTTAAGTTCAGAGTTTAAAAAGTGAAGGGAAAATATTAAGGCATAATGCAACATTTTGGGATAATAATATTGTTATTGGTAAAAATCATTCAGTAGGCGGATCTAAACTGATACAACAACAACAACAACAA